TGAAAATTTTAATTTATTGTTATAAATTTGTTATTGTGAATAGCAGAATTGAGAATTGAATTCGTTTATTTTTTTAAGATTGTGATTTGTGAATATGTTAATATAATTAGGTTATGTTTTAAGTTTATAATGTTTTTAATTGTTTAAATTTCAATATAGGATGCAAAGGAATGAGTATATATTATTTTTTGGAAGATGACACCCCCAATTTCTCGAACAAATCTTCATCTTCCATTTTTCTTTGCCAGATTTTTTCGAACAAATCTTCATCTTCCATTTCTACTTTGCCTGATTTTTTCTTTCATAATTGAATCTAATTATCTAAATTGAATATTTCTTTTTTTATTTGTAAATTGTAAAAATTTTAATTTATTGTTATAAATTTGTTATTGTGAATAGCAGAATAGAGAATTGAATTCGTTTATTTTTTTTAAGATTGTGATTTGTGAATATGTTAATATAATTAGGTTATGTTTTAAGTTTATAATGTTTTTAATTATTTAAATTTACATATAGGATGCAAAGGTATTTTAAAAAAACACCAAGATTTAAAAAGAAAAAATTGAGTGAGAATCTAAAGATGTATTTCATATTTGTAATGTAGAACTATTTTTAGTTAGTATTTTCAATAACATATATAAACTTTAATGTTATGTATTAGAGAATACTGTTTATTTATTGTTAGAAGCGTGGCGATTGGATATAAATTTTCTAAATTTCGACCCCACAGTTTAAAAGTTCTGAGTCCGCCCCTGCTCACGCAGCTGGAAGGGGCCAGGCCCCGCCAAACAAACTCCGTCATGGTGAATGGGCGTGTATGGGGCATGAAGTAGGAGGTCAAGCACGCCACCATTACATGTAATACGAACGAATTGAAATACAAAATTTAACGAAATAAATCTAATGAAATCAATATTTTATAATAATATCTATAATCAATTTTATTTAATTTATAGTCAAGATTTAATAATGTTAACAACAAAAAATATAAAAAATACTCTAGAATGGAGCTCGCAAGTCGCAACTATCATGATGATCAAAGGGACCAATGAAATGTACCAAAAAAAAGGGACCAATAAATATCCAGCTGTCCCATAATCTTACCATAAATAGCTAGACACACCTCATGACCACATCACTAAAGAAACACCTACCGGACTATATCTGAGCTGGAAACCCTTCAACCAAGACCTTATGGCATCTTTGGGAATAACATTAGCCTTTTGAAAAAGTTATCTATGGCCAGCGTTTAGCATTTGCGTTTTCAAAGTAATCAACATCATTAAATTTTAATCCAAAATACTAACGCTAATCTCTAACGCTATTACCGAACGGGTCCAATCCGGTGAAGACTAAAACCCTTTTGTCACGATTTAGCAAAGTAAACCTCAGCTTAAAGTGTTTGAAAAGTGAAAACTATTCCAAGATCCAACATTCACCTTATTACTAAGGGTGGGGTTCCCATGACATTGGGTTCCAATGTCATGGAATGATCCGAGGGCGCTCCGGTGCCCTGTTCGTAAAATTAACGGTTCCTACCCTCCGGTAAACCCCCACCCCGCCCTGACCCGAACACCCCCTACCCCCGTCAATTGCACACCACAAGTTGATTTTGACTTTGGAGTCAAATTTTGACTCCAAAGTCAAAATCAACTTGTGGGGTGCAATTGACGAGGGTAGGGGGTGTGTTCGGGGCGGGGTGGGGGGTTTACCGGGGGATTAGGGGGGTTATGAACCGTCAATTTTACAAACGGGACACCGGAGCGCCCCTGGGTCATCCCATGACATTGGAACTTAATGTCATGGGAACCTTGGTGTATTACTAAATACTCCCAAAAAAATAAGATATGATTGGTATGGATAATTAATAAATAAAATAAAATGAGTATAAATATGACCAAATACTTCGTAGAGCTAGTGACAGAAAGCAAGAAAATACAGAGTACTGCGAGGGGAGAAATTGTTAGGACCCACAAGTTTTACTACAGACTTACACGTGTCAGTATGCCCACCCTCTTACTCTCTCCCCAAAATACGGAGTCTATCAAAGTTTGTTTTTCATTTTCATTCCAAAATTATGTGGCTCATTCTCTATTTCTCTCTATACTTTAAATTTTGGTTTAAATATACCATTATTCCTGTGTACAATTAGCAAATTTTACTTTGGATTCATCTTAAAAAAAATTATTCTTAATTAATTTATTCCTGCAAAAAGTCTGTTTTGATCATGTGGTCTTCCCATTGACCTACACTGTACCATATATTGACTAAATTTAAGTGACCAAATTGCAATAAAAAAATATCCTTGTTTGAATGCCTATCTCTTTGGTCTCAAATTAGATAAATATATATTGAGCTTTAATTAAAGAAAAACTTCAATGTACATTGATATAAAACTTATTTTGTTAAATTTATCTTGTAGAGATTTGATTTAATATATTGATACATACAGTACCAAATAAGAGTAATTAATTTTCAAAGTTTGTCCAAATTAACTCAGAGAAATTCAAAGTTGGCAGACACCACGACACATGTTGTATATTCTAAATTTGGTTGCACTATTTTATCATAGTATTTTCTTATACACATTAGCTATCATCTCATTTCGTACAATGATGATGATGATCATAATAATAATAATAATAATAATAATAATAATAATAATAATAATAATAATATACTCCCTCTGGTCCAAATTTTTTTTTCTAGTTTTGATTTTTTATAGTTAAATAGTGATTCTCTTTGACCATAAATTATGATAAAAGTACATTTAATTACAATATAAATCCAATATAATTATATTCATCTTAAGATATAGTTTTGATTTATCGAATTTTTATATATTTAATTTATTTATTTAGATTGTGTTTATTTGTAGCCCAAGAATTTTACTGTTTGATCAATAAAGTCAAAACAAGAAAAGTTTTTTGGAACAGAGGGAGTATAATAATAATACTTCCTCCATCCTCAAATTGTTTTCGAGAAAAAATTTCTCACTTTTTGAAGTTATTTTATTTACAAATTGGTATATCAATAAGAAATAAAAATTACATATTAAAAATTATGTCAAAAGTTCTATAAAACAAGAGGTGACAAGAATATTTTATTTTATTAAATACTTAATAAAATCGCGTAAATAAACAAAAGTCGTCAAAATGGGGGTGGGGGAGTAATACTCATAATAATAGCATTAATAAAAATAATACATTAATTTTTTTTATCTACACTATTCATAGAAACGTTAAATCCTTTATCAACATTATCACTTTATTCCATCAGAAGAAGGAAATGAATATACCATTATACCCCGATTTTATCTATATTATTCACTTTATTCCATCACATCAAGAACAACACGTGAAAATTTTTTACATTTTTTTTATTTTTTTTAATCTCTGGGCCAAGCTAAATTGGAAAAGAAAGAAAAACGAAAAACTGATCGAAAAAATTAGAGAAGGACAAGGGCTGACCTGAAAGACTCCAACGTTTCATCTTCATAGTGATGTAGCGACACTCGGCTCAACGGGACGTTAAATCCTTCCATCCAATGAAGGCTGCTGCCGTTAGTGGGCAGCGCCGCCCCGGACGGCGCGACGGCCGGAGTTCCCCAGAAATACGACATGCCGTCGCCTGATACGGCCTGTTTCTCCTCAAACGACATGGAGAACATCCGTTCCGTACGGTCAAGCATTTGACTCAGCAGCAATTCTGGGATTCCGTGGTTGACCAGCCTGAACAGCCCCCAGTCCCTGCATGCCGCCGTTATCTTTTCCTCCCCGCCGTCGTCATGCTCCGTCAAGCGCTCGAAATCTATCACCGGAACGCCGTCCTCTCCTTCCACCGTCGTGGGCGGATCTAAAGCCGGCGCCGTTTCTGCTCCTCCCGCGACTAGGTTTTGGTTGGCCGGAGGACGAAACGGCGGAGGGTAGGATTGGTAGTTTGGGATATTTGACATGTTAATAAATTTTACTCTGTGAGTTTTACATATCCTCTTTTTACAATTCTAAAAACTCGGACCTCGGTATACTTTATGGAACCAATACTCGTGACTTGTTCTAGTGTTTTAGATGGAAAATGTTGGGTTCACATACACAATCAGCATAAATTTTACAAATTTACTATTTGGTTTCGTTTGATACACGAAATTTAAACTATGGAATTTGAAATGACTCAATTCCAATTCTGGTGTTTGGTAATACAAAAATTATGTTTATTTGAAATTGACAGTGCAAAAAATGAATTGAAATTGGTGAATTTAATTATATGGAATTGAATTATATGGAATTTCAATTCTAATTCAATTCCAATTCCATCTATTTCGTATACCAAACGGAACCTTTGTGAACTTATATAAAAAAAATTTAAATATTCTAAAATAATTTTAAAATGAGAATTTAAACCATGAGTAGTAAATTTGTGGAGTTTGTGACCAATCTTGTTTGTGAACGTAGCATTGTTCCTTTTAGATAGCTAAACAACTGCTCCTCAACTTCGACTACAAAAAAAGACTAAAATATTAAAAAAATATCAAAATAAAAATTTTATGTTTTTATTCTCAAAATAGGACTTATATTACCAAACATGATCATGTACATTACCAAAAAAGTATAGTAATGTGCACATGTACAGTATCGCATTACCACAGTGCAAAGTCCTATTTCGAGAAAAAAAACATGAAAATCCTATTTTGTTACTTTTCTCTGTGTTTTCGTCCTTTTTTGGATGATTTCTATTCATACATTTGTTCTTAGAACACTATCTCAACTTCACGGAAATTTATACTCCCTCTGTCTACAAATAAACTTCTCGTTGCGCGTCACGATGTTTGACTTAAGTTATTTTTAAATCTTTTTATAAGGAAATGGTATGAAATTTTAAAATAAATATTACATATTAAAAAACTATATCAAAACATCTACACAACTAGAATTGATATTGCTATATTATTTTATCAAATGAGTAACAGAAATAGGCCAACAAAGTGAATAAAGTTTGACTATGTTAATAGTGAACAAGAAGTTTATTTATTGACGGATGGTGTACTTCGTATATATTTGTGTTTTTCATAACTTATATGATAAAATGAAATATTCTTGTCATCATTTGTTCTGATTAATTTTTTAAGTAATTTTTTAAATATGTAAGTTTTATATTTTATTTCTATGCCAATATTTAAATAAAATAGATTGTAAAAACTTGGAGTTTTCTTCATTCTGCGCAATAGGAAGAAAGATATTGGACGGAGGGAGTTATATCTTAAAGAAATCATCATACGTAGTACTCTAAGTGACTCAATATTACGCATATAGCACTCTTTAATCTTTTATTCGAATTTAGTTATTTATAGTGTTAATATCTTCCAAACATACCCTATACTTTTTATTATATTTTATCATTTTTAATTACTTTTAATTATTTGATTAAACGCATGTTATTCACGTAGCCTCTCCTCCTCATACGTGCAGCTCTAAGGCTCATCCTCATTTGTGCGTCTCATACATGCGAGAGCATCATCCTACACTGTTTACCAAAACTCTGTGAGATCCTCCTTCTCCGTAGTTACCAATGTATAATGTCTAAACAAATTCGTACGTATTAAATTAAGTTCCATATTTATCACTCGTGTTTGGCCAGTGTGTTTTTTTGTAATAGATTATTCATGAAATCAGTCATACATTTTTCAATAGTGTGGAATTCATAAATGAAAACAGTCATACGCATTTTGGCAGTGTGGAATTTATAAATGAAAACAGTGTGAAATTCATACATAAAAAGAAGTATATATTTTTTGGACAGTGTGGAATTCATACATTAAAATAGTCATGCATTTTTTATGAATGTAGATTTTATATATGAAATCACTGCCACATAAATCAATGGACATTACACTCCAACATGAAATTAAGAAACACAATAATACACTTACACACTACCATTAGATATACCAACATATATCCATTCTAGACTCCCACATTAAATACTTACACATAAAAAACCACACTTCCCACTACACAATTACTAGTAAATAACTACACTGCCCAAAAAATCATATTTTTAGCAGTGTGTAATGAATATTTGTTGTTTAAATAAAGAACAAAATCGGAATCACATGTACGAAACATATAACACTGCTATTTAGAATATTTTAAGGCTCTAAGAATGCTTTTTTGGTTTTTCTCCCTTCATATATATCATTTAATTTACACAAAAGAATTCTTAACTTATAAGTAGTGTATAAGTTAAAGGCTACTTAGATGCAATAAATGAATAAGCACCAGCAGAGAGAAATGCACACTTAGGGCGCGTTTGGTTCGTGCTGAGGAAAGGGAAAGGAAACATGAAAAAAAATCAGGGGAAAAGGAATGATCACTCCTGAATTACTCCGTCTGTTTGGTTCAATACAGAAAAGGGAACTGGAGCGGGAGTGGAGGAATTGGAGCGGGAGGGGAAGGAATCGGAACTAGAGGGGGAGGGGGAGGAAATAGAGCTAGAGAGGGAGGAAACGGAGCTAAAGGGGGAGGGGGAGGAACATACCTAGGCTGCGGTGCAGATGAAGTCACGGTGTGGCGGCGAGATGCAATAGGGTGGCAGCGAGACGCGGTGGGGTGGCGGCTAGAAGAAATGGACGGAGAAGAAGGGTGAGGGATGGGGAAGAGTGGAATGGGAATGGGAAACCGTGATAGGAAGCGGAGAATGGAAAGACGGGAAACAGGATAATCCAAAAGCAAAAATGGAGAAACAGAATGAACTTTTTTTAAACAAACGATAACAAACAGAATCGGAGAATCCCGTCCTGTTTCCCTTACCCCGAACCAAACGCCCCCCTAAATCACAACAAAACATACCATCTCTCCCCTGTTTTATTGGGCCTTTAAAATTGTGTTTAATTTGGCCATAAGAACACCCTCCTTACCCTGATCAATATGGTTGGTCTTCAAATCTTCAATCGGACCGAGGTTTGGATATCGTGTTGTTGGACTGGATATTGCATTATGATTTATGAGCAGCCCAATGGGATTAATGCCATCCCGTTGGAAACCTGTATCCTGGTATTTCTGTAAATTCAAAGAAACGAAGACCTTTTTTACCAAACCAATTCAAATTTTGAATTAACCGGACAGCCTGGTCACGTGGGTGGGACAGGCATGATTTCTGTTTCTGTATATAAGCCTCCGGAAAGCCAATTGAGAGGCATATCGGCGTCTTGATAAACGCCCTTCTCAACATTATCTCTTCCCTTCGTTTCTTCTCCTTGTTTCCGATTTCGAATCCCTCCAAGTCGCGAAAATGAGAGAGTGCATTTCAATCCACATCGGTCAGGCCGGTATCCAGGTCGGAAATGCTTGCTGGGAGCTCTACTGCCTCGAGCACGGCATTCAGGTATCAACATTTGATCTTCTTTACGCGATTCTCCCAACGACGATCGGATCTGTGTGAATTTATGTGCTTTTGGTTTGTTTTCTTCCGATCTGCGTTTATGTGCCTTGTATAACCGTCTTATCGCTTAGATCGGCGTGAATCGGCTGCGCATTTGATATATCTGTGTGTATTCGTCAATGGATCTGTTTCCAGACGCAGATCGGAATTGGTTTTGTTTGATTTCAAAATATTTCTTAACCTGAATGTGATTTATGATGCGATTTCTGTATTAAAAAACGTTTAAAAGCTTTTTATTCATCGTGTTCGGTTTCTACATTTATAAATCTGATAGTATTTTGAATTCAACTTCATAATCACGGAGTCTCTGAAATCTGTTTGTAGCATCTAGATCTACTCCTGAATCGATGCGTCATTTGCAAGAATTTATTTACAACTGTTGGTACACTTAAGTTGAATTTCGTTTATCTGCATATGGTTGCATAGATCTTCTCTATACGGACAGAAATCTTAAATGCTTTGTGATTTGTCTTAGTTACTGGTAGTTTCTTTGAATATCTGATAGATTTCACCTCTAGATTGGGTAGATCTGTTAATTCTTTGCTTATTCCCACTCACGTATTTTCCTATTGCATTCTTTGTCATAGCCTGATGGACAAATGCCTGGTGATAAGACTATTGGAGGAGGTGATGATGCATTCAACACCTTCTTCAGTGAGACGGGAGCTGGGAAGCACGTTCCCCGTGCTGTCTTTGTTGATCTTGAACCAACTGTGATTGATGAAGTGAGGACTGGAACCTACAGGCAGCTATTTCACCCGGAACAGCTCATCAGTGGCAAGGAGGATGCAGCCAACAACTTTGCCCGTGGTCATTATACAAGTACATTTCTAATCACCTTTTCTCTTTATTCCCATATTCATCATGTTTCATATTTCAAGAATGTAATTCCTTGTTCCTTTTCTCTACATGATCTGTGTAGTTGGCAAAGAGATTGTGGATCTCTGCTTGGACCGCATTCGGAAGCTTGCGGATAACTGCACTGGCCTTCAAGGGTTTCTGGTCTTCAATGCTGTTGGGGGAGGCACTGGTTCTGGTCTTGGATCTCTTCTCCTGGAGCGTCTGTCTGTTGACTATGGAAAAAAATCAAAGCTTGGTTTCACCATTTATCCCTCCCCACAGGTCTCCACATCTGTGGTTGAGCCCTATAACAGTGTCCTCTCCACGCACTCCCTCCTTGAACACACTGATGTTGCCATTCTGCTTGACAATGAGGCCATTTATGACATCTGTCGCCGCTCCCTTGATATTGAGCGTCCTACTTACACCAACCTTAACCGTCTCATTTCTCAGGTAACTGAGCTATATTTCTCTAAAAGAGTTGAGACAATTTTGTTTGTTGATGAATGATAAGGTTATACATGCTGATCACTTTTGAATTTAATTAATAATCACAGGTCATCTCTTCGCTGACTGCTTCTCTGCGATTCGACGGAGCCTTGAACGTTGATGTCAATGAGTTCCAGACCAATCTTGTCCCATACCCTAGGATACATTTCATGCTCTCGTCCTATGCACCCGTTATCTCAGCCGAGAAGGCCTACCACGAGCAACTCTCGGTTGCAGAGATCACCAACAGTGCCTTTGAACCGTCTTCCATGATGGTCAAGTGTGATCCCCGTCATGGGAAGTACATGGCTTGCTGTCTCATGTTCCGTGGTGACGTTGTGCCCAAGGACGTGAATGCTGCTGTGGCCACCATTAAGACCAAGCGTACCATTCAGTTTGTTGACTGGTGCCCGACTGGGTTCAAGTGCGGCATCAACTACCAGCCGCCCACAGTTGTCCCTGGGGGCGACCTTGCCAAGGTGCAGAGGGCTGTCTGTATGATCTCCAACTCCACCAGTGTCGCCGAGGTCTTCTCCCGGATTGATCACAAGTTTGACCTCATGTACTGCAAGCGGGCTTTCGTCCACTGGTATGTTGGTGAGGGCATGGAGGAAGGCGAGTTCAGCGAGGCTCGTGAGGATCTGGCTGCCCTTGAGAAGGACTATGAGGAAGTTGGTGCGGAGGGAGAGGATGAGGACGAGGATGGAGACGAGGGAGAGTACTAGAGACCCCCTCGGCTGGCTCTCTTTCTTTATGTTTGTTTCGTTTAATATCTAAAACATGTTGCTACATGTTTTTTTTTAAAAAACGTCGTTTGAAATTGAAGCTTTGCCCCCCATGACAATATTATCGTATCTATGTTTGTGTGATATGGTTTGCCTTAAAAAAGGACTGGGCCAAGAGTGGTCTATGTTAGTACTCAATACCTTTTACGAGTAGTAAAGTTTTGACCTGAATTCGAGTGACGTTCTGAATGAATCATGAGTGTCGGTTTTGGTTAAAATGAAAAAATGATCTCCTTTCAGGGTTTGTTGTATATGAAAATGAATTGGATTAGAATTAAAATTTTATGGTATTTAATTCTATAAAATTGTATTCACCAATTCTAATTTATTTTTAGTACTATGAATTCTAAATATATACTCTGTATATTTTTTATATAACCAAACATTAGAATTTGGACCTCAAAGAATTTCCTGATAGTTAATCGGAGTATTTAAATGGATGACTTGTTATTAGTCCGTTTTATGTTCTTAGAAAGAAAAACTCGGTAAAACATCCCCTCTCCCTTACTTTTTTTTTCTTCTTATTCAATCTTTTTTTCTTTTCATGTTCTTTTACCTTTATTTCTCTCTCACAATATAATCTATCGCTACTTTTCAAAATTTTCTAGGGAGAAGGTTCTATAGTCGCTTCAATGTTTAATGTGTTCAAAGTTTTTAATTTGGCCAATTATGTTAAACAAAATTCTATGCTTTTAAATTTTAAACAATTTTTTTTACTTATATTAAATGTCTGTGAATCTTAATTTTGTTCCTTTCACATACCTTAAATACTCCCTCCTTTCTTCGTTTTGACACACAAACCAATTGAATGAGTAAAAAGACACAATTACCCTTCAGTCTCTCAATCCGTCGTCACCCTGACGGTCTCCCCCGTGTATATGATGTCTAGCCACCACCCAGGTTAGCGCCGATCAAAGTTTAAACAAAAACTGGCTAGAGTAGAGACATTATGCTAAGATGAGAAACCAATCGAAGTATAACACAAAAGCCCCACATTCTGAACAAGAATTAGCTCTAGATTTTAGAAGAAACATTAGATGTGGATTTCGAAACAGAATACAAGCCACGATTTCATAACAAAAGCAAATTAGGATTTACAAACTAGATATTAAATTTTAGATCTAGATCTTGAGAAGACATTCAGCCGCCGTCGGAGAAAACATCCGCCAGCCATTATGCACTATTAGTTGTCTTTTTCAAAGAAATCCCACTCCGGCAATATTGATACTCTGTATGTCGGAGAAGACAAGATGAGGGAGACCAATGGAGAGACATGAGAGTATGAGAACGTGAGAGAGAAGGGGATTGGGTTTGATTCGATTATTGGAAGAATTGGACATGAGACCATGAGAGAAGTGTAAATGACAACGGCAAATTGGACATTTCACGTTATTTTTCTTACCTTAATAAGAAAGTGAACAAATGACGGCCCAAAAAGAAATACTCGACGAATACGGGGGACGGAGGGAGTATTTGTGACTCAAACCTTCTAACCTTTGGCCATTTTTAAATGTTTGTGAGACAGACACATACACTTTTTATGTCCGTGTAATCAAAAAAATTCTTTGACATCTTCTCTAACATTTGGTTATTGAAGAGGTCAGTGTCTGTAGTTGCTCTGGTATGGAATTTAGATATTCTTACTATATGTGATTCTATTAATTTGTGTTTTTCATTGTTGGTAAGGTTGTTTGACTTCAATTACTAAAATTATTATTTTTTGTAAAATCATTATAAAACTTCAATAGTCTAGTTTGTGTTATACACTTTCAAATTTAAAATAAATATTTTTGTTGAAACTCATTTTTTAATTGTCTAGGTTACTTTCATTTACCATTGTTTAATGTTTGTGATACTTGATACATAAAAAGATAAGTCGATTTGAATCTCTGTTTCTAATATTTATTTATTTATATGTGATTTTGTAATATCATTTCATTTATCTTGTTTTGCAGGTATACTTCTTGCGATAGGAGAAAGGCGCTGACTTTAAACAAATAGAATTTAGGTTACTATTTTGATTGCTCAATGTGTATGAAGATTTGATGTTTTTTCTGTATGTTTAGATAGTGATGGATGATCTGTAGTGTGTATTGTCTATATAATCTATTTCCATGCATTACTTTCTCTGATTGCTTTTCTGCAGACGTGTATCGTTTGTAAATATTCTCTAAATGTAATAGCAAAACATTGTACGAAGTAGTGTTGCTCCTTGGATGTTCAGATACTCGAATTCTGACTTTAGGAATTCATGAATTTCCTTAAAAAATAAATTCTGACAATTTTAATAATTCAAAAATGAAATTATAAGAAAAATCTTTTAACCTCATACTAAATATAAATAGAAAAGGAAACATATTACACAAGAGTTTTTAATTAGTGAGTAAATTAGATCTTCCCTATAGATTGGAACAAAAAACTCTAGATAGTTAGGGGCTGTTTGTTTCAGCCTCTTAATGGTTCAGATGTCTAAATGGTTCAGCACTTAAGGGTTCAGACTGTTTGTTTCAGCCTCTTAATGGTTCAGATGTCTGAATGGTTAAGAGATTTGCCTCTGAATGGTTAAGTATTATACAGAGTCTGAATGGTTAAGACCTCTTATCTGAATTGATTAGACATTTGCCTCTGAATAGTTAAGCAATATACTAGCTCTTAATGGTTCAGACCTCTTACTGGTTCAGCACTTAATGATTCAGACCTCTTACTGGTTCAGCACTTACCTATTCAGAAGTTGCCAAACAGCTCCTTACTCAAAAGAGTTGAATTACTACCTTTTACGTAGTATATGTTTTTTTTTTGAATATTAATTTTTTTTGATACCCTACCCTTTCAAAAATTAATCTGTAAAAAATAAAAAATAAAAATAAAGAAAAAAATAAAGAATGATGAGCGCGAAAGATGTGTTCCGTTAATTTTTTCAACTCCGTTAGGAATTTTTTTCGCGGTGGAACCGGAATAAAGTTGTGTTTTAGGGTTCATGTGACCCAAAACCCCCCATTCATATTCGGATTCTGGAACCGCCAATGCAGGCATGAGCAGTAGCACTTCTCAAATTCTGGTTTCATTTCGCAGTTTCCGCTCAAGCTCGTCGTGCTTCATCTTATTCTAGATCCCCAAATTCCGATCGAGAGTTAGAGGTAATATTTCTTTTCCTCAAATAGTGTATGCGAATGAATCCGTCTGTTCAATATAAGGCTTTCAAAGTCTCATTAAAGATCTTCTATTTCGGAGTTCTTCCCGTGATTTTTAATTCCTCCAGCTATTGATGTAGATGATTCCAAGCCATTTTTTTTACATGTTTTCTGCAAAAACAGATTAGTAATATCTCGGAGTGTTAAATTTGAAATGACTCTCAAAGGCTCGATTTTTTTTTGAAATAATGTTAATTGGTGTTTTTTATTTAATTAATGGTGATTTTAGCTAGTTCTATTTCTGTGCAATTTTTGATGATGGTTCAGTGTAATATATGTGAATGGTTGAATTAGTGAAAGAAACTGATACGTGTTGATGTAGTTTCTGTGGAATATCATCACACATTTGACTTATAAGTTTTTAAATAATTGCTTAATATCGTATCTTGGGGAGTAGCTACATCTATATGTTTGAAACTTCCCTGCTTTCTTTCTTCTTCGCCCGTTTCCCTCCCCTGTTTCCCCCCTTCAATTCTTTTCCTTTCTTTGTTCTTCTTCTCTTTTTCATCTTCATCTCTTTAGCATACCCCTCCGCCCTTGTGTCTACCTCTTTTTCAACCTCATAAAATCCAAATGATAAAAAATCAAAATTTAAGTTTCAGATCTACAAAATCAAGAATTTAAAAATCAATCTCTTCAACATCAGCCCCTCTCCCCTCCATTACAAATCTTTCATCTTCATCAAAGAAATTCAAGAGGAAAGATTTGAAAAGATGAAGAGAAGAAGACAGTGAGGAAACCAAATATAAGTCTAGGGTTATTGCTCTGTGTTGCCGACGCACTTTGCCATAGGCTCCGCCGCCTTTGTCCCCTCGCCAATGTCCTGTTGCAGCATGGGAGAGCTTTTGGAAGAAGAAGTCTCCGAGGGGCAATAACAAGCAGGAGAGAGAAAGTTGTTACGAGAGGAAAAGAGAGAACCTAGGAATGAAATATCTTTCTTCCCTAGCAAGACCACCGGCAAGGCGTTGGGGCTGTAACTATGTTGTATAAGGCCTTATTTTAACAAGAGTGGCATTAGATTGTAGTGGTATTGTGTGATCCAAAACTCCTCTTGATGGAGTAAGACCTCTTGGATCTTGAAACAGATTCTCATACTCCAACAGTATTACTTGTATATCTGTGGAAACGTCAGGAGTGTCAATAGCCATGGAAGTGGATTGGCCCTCCATTGTATAAGGGGTGACCTGCAGCAAACATATCTGACTAGAGCTTCTTATTACTTTTGTGAGTTGGTGGCTATATCCAACTACTGAAACATGTTTGTTTCATGCCTCTTAAGACCTGTTTGTTGCCATTATATGAGAACTCTATTTCCAAGTTGCTGAAGTCCCATTTCACATCTTCTAGTTCCCCTAACCATTGTATACCCAACACCATATCACATCCTCCCAAAGGAAAGACCAACACATCAGATTTAAGCATAGCCCTATGAAGTTTCCATTCAAACTTGTTGCACACATAGACACATTGGAGTTGATTACCATCAGCCACTATTACTGCTTTGGTTGCAATAGGTTCCAGCTTGCAACCTAACTTAGCCAAGGAAATGTCCAAGAAGTTGTGTGGGCTTCCAGAGTCTATGAGGATATGCAAAGGTTTCTGGCCATGATAACCTGTAACCCTCATTGTTTGAAATCCCTGATTACCACTAATGGCACTAACAGATATAAAGGGGTTGGGTAACTCCATGTGACAGCCTGTATCCCCGCATTTTGAGTCATCATCTGTCTCTCCTTCACCATCAACTTCAACCAAAAACAATTGAGTCCCTTTGCTTGAACACTTATGCCCCTTTTCGAATGGTTTGTCGCAATAATAGCACAATCCTTTAGCTATCTTTTCTGCTCTCACTGCTGTAGGTATGAATTTGGGCTGGTTCACCACATGCAAGGGATTGGATGGTTTAGTAGTGTTAGGAGTAGGTAACAAGCCCTGGCTGCTATTGAACATAGGCTTACTTGCTCTGCCTTAGTACCACCTTAATAGCCTGCACAGGTTCTTCTTGGCATCTAGCATACTCAATAGCTTTAGCCAGGGATCTAGGTTTGAAAGTCCTCACGTTGGTTTTAAGGTGAGGTTTGAGACC